ACCAAAAGAAAGCTCTATCTGTCCCCAAAAAAGGGTATAAAATTCATTTCAGTACAGCGCTGCATGACGGAATAAATGTCAGTCAAAGTACCGCAGCGCTGAATACTGAAAAATGGCCTGGATGGGAAGGGGGTTTAACACCGCGGATGTCAACTGGTTAACAGGAAGGCTGCCAAGGTCCCCAGCAAGCGCGGGACCTCATGCAGCCTCTTATTTAAAATGTTAGTGTCGGTGTTCTGTTGAGAACGCTGAACCAGTATCTGCGCTCACGTACAGACGGGATTAACGAGGAAACCACCATTTATTTACAAAGTATTCATTTGTAATGGTTAATTGTGACCTTAATAATATGCCGTCCATGGCAGTGAATGATGGATGGAATATTATTAACGGTCACAATTAACGATTTCAACAAAAAACTTTGTAAATAAATGCGTTTCCTCGATAATACTGGTCTGTGCGCAAGCGCAGGTGCTGAGGTCGGTAAATTCGACTACGTTGGCGTTCCGGACAGAACACCGGTATCTGCGCTTAGTATCGGGGCATTTTCACGAGTATGAGTACTCGTGAAAATGCCCAGTATCGGAAGTGGTGTATCCCTGCTTAATAATAAAATGCATTGCTGTTTTTTGTAGTGTGTTTTACATAGTTGGTGCTATTCGTGCTATTCTGCATTGCTGTATAATCATCATACATCAATGCAGAATACCACCAGCTATGCGGGACTACAATTCCCAGCAATACATTATAATAAGTCAGCTATGCAGAATGCCACCAGCACCCCCTCCCCCCACACTATAATGCATTGCTGGGGACTTGTAGTCCTAAATAGTTGGTGCTATCCTGCATTGCTGTATAATCATCATACAGCAATGCAGAATACCACCAGCTATGTGGCACTACAAGTCCCAGCAATATATTATAATAAAAGTGAGCACTATATCACCAGCATTCCCCCCCCCCACACACACACACACTTGTAGTCCTACATAGTTGGAGCTATTCTGCATTGCTGTATAATCATCATAAAGCAATGTAGAATCCCACCAGCTATGCGGGACTACAAGTCCCAGCAATACATTATAATAGAAGTCAGCACTACAGAATCCCACTACACAACACACACACTCCCCCCCCCTCTTCCCACTCCAGACTTACCTTCCTTCTCCAGCAGGGCCCTCTTCCTCATCTCCCCGGTCAGGGGGCGGGGCTAAGAGGGTCGGCTCCTCACACAGCAGAATGTGCTGCCTGGCGGTGCCTGCAGCATATTCTGCTGGTGACAGCCTCTCCCATCCCTGCCGCACAGCTGCCCGTACATGCTGCGGGCGGCTATGAGGAAGGGAAGGAGCGGCACTGGGCCCCCCCAAGTGGCGGAACGCCAGGGCCTGGTCGCAATTGCGACCGCTGCGACCCTGGTAGTTCCGCCAGTGCCAACAATGACTGCACACCAATGTGAACAGAGACCGAGAGCTGACTGATCAGTGGCCCTCCAGCTGTTGTAGAACTACAAGTCCCATGAGGCATTTTAAAACTGACAGTTACAGGCATGACTCCCAGAGGCAGAGGCATGTTGGGATTTGTACTTAAAGCACAACTGGAGGGCAGCAGTAGCCCACCTCTAGTTACAGTATGTTTCACTCTCCCCTCACTTCTCCATTAACCACTTCAAGACCAGGTGTTTAGACCCCCTTCCTGGCCAGGCCATTTTTCAGTGTTCAGCGCTGCAGTCCTTTGACTGACGTTTATTCCGTCATGCAACGCTGTACTGAAATGAATTTTATACCCTTTTTTGGGGACAGATAGAGCTTTATTTTGGGGGTATTTAATCACCACTGGGGTTTTTATTTTTTATTATAATTAGGACAAATTACAGAAAATTTTGAAAAAAAAAAGTTTTTTTTTACATTATGTTAGGAAACATTTATTATTACCCAGTTTTTTGGTAAAATATAAAAGATCGGGTCACGTCGGGTAAACAAACACCAAACATGTCAAGCTTTCAAATTGCGCGCACTGCGAAATTGCAGAAAACTACCATACCCAAAATTGGCCATAGGCGACACTTTAAAAGCTTTTACCGCTCATCAGTTTAGTGTTATCAGTGATTGATGACCGTTGCAGTGCTTTAAGGCACGTTATGACATGCATTAACAAGCGTTGTCTTAAGGCAGCCCATAGATTAGAGTAAGGACCACACTTGATGAGGCAGTGTTACTTCCATATATTTTGTAAAAGTTGTGCAACTAAAACCACTGTTTTTAATCCTAGTAGCTAGACAGTGTATTTTTTTGCATGCTGGCAGGTGAGTGTGCTGGGTAATTTTTGTTTTTGTACTGTGTAAAGCCCTTCCATGTGCACCTTGCTTTAAAGCTAGTTATGAATGAGTGCCTTTGCCTTTCACGTGTTAAGGCAACCCATTGCAGCGTGTTAATGCACATTATGGCATGCTTTAATGTGTGTTGCGTTAAGGCAACCTATTCACATTAAAGTCATACCTTATGGTGTGTTAATGCGTATTGTGGCTAGGGTTGCCACCTTTTCTTTCAGCGAAAGCCAAATACTCTAGCGACGCATGGACATTTTTTTGGGAGAATGAGTCGTGGCTTATTCATAGGTAAATAGCGCCACCCATTCATATGTAAATATCACAGTCAAGACCATTTTCAGTGGGGAGCCAGTAGCCCCTATCTTAATTTTGGTTGCCCCTGTCTGACTGACATCATGTGTTCGGGTTTGAGCTGCCATGAAACCTGGACACAGCATTCAAAACCTGGACTGTCTTGGTGAATCCCGGACAGATGGCAACCCTAATTGTGGCACGCATTAACGTTGTTTTAGGTGTGCTCACCCATTGTGCACCACAACAGATGACAAATTGTACCTGATCCTTTTTTGCAAAATGCAGCGCACTGCAAAACACAGTGAGGGGAATTTATCAAAACTAGAGCAGACAGAATCTGGAGCAGTTGCCCATGGCAACTAATCAGCATCTCTCTTCAGTTTGCAACTGTCTCCCTTTTATTTTGCACAAAATGTCGGTGCTCTAAAAAAAAAAACGAAACATTATTTGAATTGATTATTTAGGGGTGAAGCATTTTGAACAAAATGCTGGTAATCACCAGGGATATGTTTTGTACAATCAGACAGTGTAAGTAAGCTGCTGAGTTGTTACAAGTCGTCCAGGACACTAGGAGGAGCTGGCGAGTCCCCGCAGAGTGTATGGAGGTTTCCCTCCTCTTGGGTGCTCTATGATACGGTGTGTACAGACAGTGGAGGCAGTGCAAGCTGCTCATGTATTGCTCAGCATGGTAAGTGTTGTGTGAGAAGTGTTGTCATTCTTCATCACGGAATATACATTTGTCTCCCTATAAAGTAGACGAAGATTGTTTTCTAGCATGGCTCTTGTAATGACACTGAATGACATAGGAGTATATGAGTGTATTTGTTAGAAGTGCTTATAGTTGTCTGACGTTTAGTACAGTGAGATTCTACAATTGTTTAATATTGGTTCAGAAAATGGAATCATCAGAGTGTTTAACCCTTTCCCTGCCAGAGATAGTTTTTGTTAAATTGTTTGCAAACATGTTAAAGCGCACATTTTAGGCCTGACAAATACTTAAAGGGTTTCTAAACCCTCCGTGCTAGCAAGCAGTAGATATAGTCAAAAGTTTTTTTTTTTAAACGCTTTAACAGCGGTTTAAACTTACCCTGTTTTCGCCGCGCGCTCCCGCCCGAGAATCCGAAACTGCTCGGGCGGCCGCAAAGCATCTTGGGGCGCGCGCATGCGCAGTTCGGATTTTCGGCCGGGAGACCAGCAGAGACGCAAGATAAGTCTATGGACGCGTGCACCCGCATGCAGACACCTTGGGATCGGAAGTGCCAGCAAGCAGAGAGGAGTCAGCGCTGGATTGGAGAGCCGCCGCTCCGCTGGTGGGACAGATGAAAACATCAGGAAAGAAGAGGAAGATCGGATTAAGAAACCTAATTTAAGGTAAGTGCTGACATTAACATTGTGGGGAGGGAAGTTACTTTTTTTTTGTACTTTAATGTCACTTTAAAGAAGGACTGTGGGAAACATTTTTCTTCACCCTTGCAGTGCGGCTACCCCCGCATTGCAAGGGTTAGCAGCTAGTTTTTGTCTAGGGACTAAAATAACAAACTTCAGCTCTCCTGATGCTCAGAGCCGGCTTACTGTTAGACAGGTCTTTCTCCCTCTCTGCTACAGCAGTCTTTGGGTCCTTGAGTCATCACGTCCTATACACAGTGTATTGGATGTGAGGATGCTGGAGGACATACCATCACTGCAGTGGTGGAGGCGACAGGCTGGAGGGAGCGCTGTTACAGCCAGCCAGCTTTGGAGGATCGGGTGAGTATGACTTTGTTGACCCTGGAGACTAAAATGGTGGTAGTTGCAATTTTTATGTCACGTGACAACTGTTTAAGAAACCCAAACTTTCAGTAAAAAATGTGTATAGAACGTGATGACTCCGGGACCATAGACTGATGCAGCGAAGGGGGACAGAGGTTTCAGGGACTGGTCTAAGAGCCAGCCATCCCTCAGGATCAGAGACCAAACGAGCACTTAAAGTAACACTAAATTCAAGAGTTAATTCTTAAAAATACGTTCAAGTATCCTATTAACAAAACTATCTTATTTGTGTATCACTTATCTCTGAATTGGTGCAGACGCTGTCTATCCTTCTGGAGGGTGGCTCACTCCTGTGATGGACTAATATCTCAGGTTTAGTTTACTACAGTAAACTCCCAGTTATCTGGCACCCATGGGGATTGGCAGGTGCCGGATAACTGTAGTTTCTGGTTGCTTAAGAGTTAACAGTATCTCTCAAGCAACCATTTCCGCGGCGCCCCACTTCCCCCTGCTCCCCCATTTACTTGCCAGCTAGCTTCCACAGTGGACAGGTGAGTGGCTTCAGCCGGGAGCAAAAGCCAGCCTGCTATTTGCTATTTCAAATTGCAATAGCCTATAGCAGGCTGACTATTGACACCAATAGATTTAGTTACCAATTGCATTTTTAGTGCGCACCAAACAACCAAGCTGGTCAGGTTTCTTCTTACTTACCTCGCCGAGCGTCGCGTCACTGCTGCTCCGGTGGGCGGCGCTCCGAGCGGGGTCATCTGGCAGTCTCCGGGTCCTAATTTAGGTGGCCGGTCACTGCGTCGCGTCACTGCTGCTCCGGTGGGCGGCGCTCCGAGCGGGGTCATCTGGCAGTCTCCGGGTCCTAATTTAGGTGGCCGGTCACTGCGTCGCGTCACTGCTGCTCCGGTGGGCGGCGCTCCGAGCGGGGTCATCTGGCAGTCTCACCTCGGCTTATATTCTGGACGGCTTATACTCGAGTATATAGGGTATATTAAACTCTCAGACTTTTTTCAATAATGAATCCAGATGAAACAAATATACATTGCCCAGCAAAGCATTGCTTTACATTTTTGCCCAAACACTTAGTTATTATGTTTCTTAACAGCTCCCACTTTCTCAACTCCATTTCCCTGAACTTCCTGTCCAGCACAACATCACAAGGGACAGAGCAGTCTGCAGCAACTGTCCATCTACTAGCTTGGAGAAGTGTGAATGGGCCCCTAATGTATATGTGTAGGAGGTTCTTTGCCTGGGGTGTCTAGATTCTAATAAAGAACAACTGGATCTTAGAATTAAAGAGTTGGTTTTCTTACAAAATAAAAATGTACATAGAAGATAAATACTAACTAAAGGGAACACAGGAGAACACGGAGGGAGCAAGGTTTAATGTTTTTGTCCTTGACTTTACTCATCTGAATTAAAGCCTAACTCCAGGTAACCCCCTCCCCCCCCCCCCACAAAAAACCCAAAAAA